AATATATAGAATAGGGTATACGTCTCATGCATATAATCCCCAAAGACAGAGAGAAAGAGAAAGTATGAGAGACGACTAATAACTTTCTGTTAGCTAGCTAAGCTTGGTAGCTTAGCTACTATGCTGTGAGTGTGAAACAGACACCAACGAGAGAGAGAGAGAGTCTATCTGCAGTGTGTGTGGAATTGTTGGCTGGAATGGGTTGTAAGTGTTCGAACATAATAGAAAAGAAGAGAGGAGAAGGAGAAGGAAATGAGGACAGGAGAATAGGGGGAAGAAGAAGCATCGGCGCAAGGAAGAATGAGGGGTTTTAAAAATTTAGGTTATTTTGATTACTATCGGTTAAAACCGACAGAAACTTTTTTTAAAATAAAAATCGAAAGACAAATTTCATTACTGTCGGTTATAACCGACAGAAAAAAAATGGCGGCATAATTCCCTCTGAAAATTTAAAATTTTCCCTCAAAATTTTAAATTCCCCCCAAAATTTTGTTACGATTTAAAAAATAAAATAATAATTGTTTGGTTTAATAAATAAATAAATAATATGTATTTAAATAGAATATGTTTTTAAAAATTAAATAAATAATTGTTTGGTTTAATAGATAATTTTTACACTTTTGGTTTAATAGAGAATAATGCATGTAAAATATGCAATAAAGAAACTAAAAAAGAATTGTACAATGAAAATGTCATCACACAACTAAATATTGTCTAATCAATACTTGAAAAACATAAATAAATATTGTCTAATGAATAAATTTGATATTCAATTTAAAATATTTACACTTATACTTAATGGAAGTATAACATTAACTCTAAATGTTTGTTTAATCTACCGTTTTGATGCGATATGCATTCTACGAAGCGTTTTTCAACGATCCAACCGTCAAATTTGTTTGTACACACTCCAAGATCGCATACGTAAAAATTACAAAAAACAAACATTAAGAGATTAGGTAACAAAACAAAAGTTTTCAACGGTTATAAACGAAAAATCACAATTTAACGGTTACTTTAGCTCCGATTTTGATGTTTTTTTACAGCTACACTTCTCGACCCTATAAGAATGCATTCTACGAAACAAGTTTCAACAATCCAACCGTCAAATATGTTCGTATATACTATGAGATAGCATGTGTAAAAAATCGCAAAAAATATAATATTTAAAACATGTGTTTATTTATTTTTAATCAATATAACATTTTAAAATAATAAAATCAGACATGTAACACCAGATGTTCATGTGTGTTTATGTGCCAGACAATGTGCATTGTGACGCATTGGAAAAAATTGTTTAAATTTCTTTGTATCTTGTTGCTTGCCTGTGAGGGAGCATAATCCTTATTACAAAAATGATAGAGCTTTAGATTGTAGTCTGTTATTATTATTCTCTCAGAAAATTTATGGCTTATGGTAATTGGGTTCATTAGACTTTAGAGTCATGAGTGAAAAAAAAAAATTTAAAATATGTGTTTATTTATTTATTTTTAATCAATATAACATTTTAAAATAATAAAATTTTCATTTATGTCGGTTATAACCGCCAGAATACTAAAATAATAACCGCCATAAAGTAAAAGAATAAAATAGTCAATTTCTGTCGGTTATAACCGCCACCATTAACTTAAAACCGCTAGAATATGTAAAAAATATTAAAAAAAAAGATTCAAAAATACCGCCAGTAAATATCCGCTAGGAATTTATGTCGGATATAACCGACAAAATTTTTCTAATATCCGCCAGTAATTAAATGATGTGTCGGATATAATTTATCCAACAGGATTTTCTAATATCCGTCACCATCATCCGCCACCTAAAGCTAATATTGTAGCAGTGGAAGACACAATGACATAACGGGAATCTACAAATTTGGTGTATGAGCTCCATTTTGGGCACTTGATACCTTTCTGAAAAGAGTGCGATCTGTCATTTCAAACTCACTACTATGTTGTGAGATATAATGGATTTTAGCCATCCGAGATCATTTAGACTTTCAAAACTGCATTTTAAAGTTTGAAATAGAAATCAGACTTTTCATTTAACATCCGATTCACTTCTTTACATTTCCCAAGACTTCTTTTACATTCCCTAAGACTCCACTAAGCTACTCAAGGATCGAGTTAAGTCTACTTAAGCCTTATTACTGTTATTCTAATCATCATTTCAGAATTAATCAATTATCCTTTTGGGTTTTCTCTCAAACTTTGGTGTACTCTAGCAACTTGATTCTTCGAGTGCATACGTTTGTAACCCTCTACACTCATGCTGCGTCAAGAACACAACCAAGATTAAACATGAACACTAAAAAAACCAGTATTCAACGCAGTTCACCTCCACAAAGTATAAAGCATGTTTCTCATAAAAGTAACCTGTCTTTTGACTCTTATTGAGTATTTATGTGCCTACCTACTTGTCCTATTTTTACACTCATCTTATCACTAAAGATAAATGACATTAATCTAAAGTAGATTATGAATAACTTATTTTTTTTCACCCACCTATTACTGGATAGAGAAATTGTGACGACCCGTCCCTCATTTTCCTATGTAATTTCTCTCCGAGTATGTGTTTTGACGACTATGCCTTACTGGCAAGTGACGTGGACTTATTCTTATCGCTTTCCATTTTATTTCTCGCTATCGCATTTAAATTGTACATGCTAGTACGAGTAGACGTAGATTTTAAAGTGTAAAAATATCTACTTCGGATAGATTTCGATTTCCTTTTACTGTAGGAAATATAGAAATCTATCCCTTGGATTCCTTTTAAAACCCATCCCGTGCACTCTCTGCAGCACTCCACTTTCAGCTATTCAATCCCATCTTTTCTGTATGTTTTGTCCCCCCTCTATCAGAAAAAGCAAAGAAAATTTGAAAACTTCTTTCTTCTTTCTTCCTATCCCGTGAGCTCTCTCTCCCTCTGCAACTCCATGAGCAAGCTCCAACACTCATAGATCGAACAAACAAACTACATCATCATGCTCATCTCAGCCCCACGATCACGACCATACCCCTGGTTCGCGTGTTGACCGAGTTTTGACCGTCCAACTCGGAAGGTTCGACTCGGTGAGTTCGATACTACGGTTTTCAAGCCATGCATGGCTAAGGTAAGCCTTAAGAAACCCTTAGAACCTTCATTTCACTTCTATGGGTTGTTATTGATCCTTTGTTTGTGTTTTGAACGTGTGGTTTTACCCAGAAACTCGAGAAAAAGGAGAACCCGAAGTTTTTCGTACAAGAACCGTGGCCATTTAGTCATTTTCAAACCATTTTTCTGGTCAACCTCGACCACAACTGGACTTCTTCTAGGTACAAACTTGTTCTCTACATTCCTAACTTCAAAATGGCTTTTGAATCACTGAGTTTGGTTAAGTAACGAGTTAGAAATCAACTCTGGAAGTTGGCAAGAAAATTTTAGTTTTCTGGAAAATTTTAGCCGTGGTCGTTTGGCCACTTTCAGACCAAATTTCTGAACCACACGGACTATATTCGAACTTTCTGTAAATTGGGATCGGTAGATCACATTCCTAGCTTTACTTTGGCTTTTGTAGAAGTGAATTTGGTTGAGAATCGAGCTTGTAATGGGCTCTGGAAGTTGACCCAAAAATCTGCAAAACTGCAGATTTTCGCGAAGAAGGCGAGTACAGTGTACTCCCGGGGGCGCGTGGGTGCGCGTGGACCGCCACTTTGGGCGGCACGTGGGGGCGCGTCCGGCCTCCGACCGACGCGTGGTTGGTACATACGTGTTCGTATCGTCGAGTAGATCAATTTCATATATTTTATACCCTAGGTTTTAGCAAACTATGGGCGTTTTATTTAGGTTTCCGTTATGTGCTTTAATTAATGTTATTTAGTTATTCCACATATAGGGGAAACTTATTCCGAGGATTTTCGAAGCCAAGCTAGGCTCAGGAGCTACAACCCAGTGATGTACTTGTGAGTGGGCAGTTGTTTATACCTATATATATTTATAGTTTCCATAAATGCGTATTTACTTCATTTTTACGCCTATATTGCCTAGTATCATTATTGTGATATAAATTGTGATAAATGCTGCTATATGGTTATGATATTACTGTCATGGCATGCATACATACTTGAGTACATGCTCATCTTGCTACACCCGGTGTTAGTACTCGCCCCAGGGCCAGGGCCAGTCCTTCACATGTATGTTCACATCCGCACCGTTCGCTCACCTTGGATCCAAGTTTAGGTGCCAGTCTTGTCGGGTAGATTGCATTAGGCGATCTGACTTGTATGTGATGTGCTTTTGCACCAGTTTCACGTGATCGTAGTACTAGAGCATATTGATTACACCCAGTCCTGTTCGTGTCAGAAACCATCTGTTCGAACTTGTGTGTCAGCTTAGATGGATGAGCACTTAGTTATATTGATTATCACATGATTATAATTGTGGCATATGATACATCATTTAGTTGGCATATTTCTTGTTATATGGTTGATATATTGGATTTTCATACTTACGTAGTATGTTTTGAGGAAACTATACTTGTTTTACGGCGAGGGGTTAGTATATTCAAAGATAAAGGTTTTCTTATAAGCATTGTTTTACTGACCCACTCAACTTTGTTTTCGCCCCTCCAGGACCTAGATAGCTGTACTCTCTGTGGCACTCGAGGAATCACGGTAGTTCTGACATTTCCTTCTGTTTAGACATATGAACTTATCACTACTATGTAATAAGTGTACTTTGGTTGCCTTGACTACTCTTTCGTAGTCTCACTGTCTATTACGCTCTGAATAATTGCAGTGGGTTCAACCCACGAATTGTGCACTCTTTCACTATTTAGTCCTAATTAGTTTTAATTTTATTCACTTTTTGCATCACTTACCCTTATGGTTACGTCACATCACGGTAACGGCGAGCATGCTTCGACCTTTCCACGTCGGGGTGTGTCAGCTTGGTATCAGAGCATAGGTTTAGACAGTCTTGCACTTCCTAGTGTGTTTTAACGGTTATTTTCTTATGTCAGAACCATGCCACCTCGTAGAGAGCCACGTTCTCCAGCGGAGAATAACTTTCCAGACTTTGGGCAATTTGGTGAGGCTATTGCCGCTGCTATTCAGTCTTCACTTCGTCCTACCCCGAGGAATACTTTGGATATTGTATCCCGCCTGAAGATTAACGATTTCTATGGTAATGAGGGACCGGAGAAGTCAGAGATATGGTTCGATCATGTGGAGAAGACTTTTCGAGTTATGCACAGGCAGGGTAATCTTTCCCTAGAGAGATGGGTCGAGATCGCGACCTGGTTCTTTCGATTAGGAGTAGAATCTTGGTGGGATCTTCAGAAGAAATCCTTATCTGATGCGTATGTCGTAGATTGGGATGTTTTCAAACAGTTACTTAAGGCCAGATTTATTCCTCCTGAGTATATGGATAGTAAGAAGAATGAGTTCATAGACCTGAGGCAGGGCGATATGTCAGCCACTGAGTATCATCGAAGGTTTACTGACTTATCCCGTTATTGCCCCGAGAGTGCTGCTAATCCCCGGGAGATGTTTCATTTGTTTAAGAGGGGAACTTGCAAGAAATGGCGCAATATAGCAACTGCTATTCCTTGTGCTACTTACCAGGAGTTCTTCGAGGTCTTGCTTCGGATTGAAGATTCGGATAATGCTCCTGATGATGAGAATGAGGGCGTTGGCGGGGATGTCCAGAGGTACAATAACAGGGGGCGATCATCTCTTGGCCCGAGAAGGGCTCAGAATTTTAAAAAGAGTGGAAATAGCTCTGGATCCTCTAGCGGGGGTTCTAACTCCGGTACACCTCAAAGAGGGGGTAGGTCCACTGGTAGTTCTCGTTTTCAGAATCAAGGAAACTCCAGCAGTTCAGGTGTTCAGTTTTGTCGTAGGTGTAACACCCGTCACTATGGCGAGTGTAAGAGGGGAAGCAGAGGATGTTTCACTTGCGGACAAACAAGGCATATGGCTTATAATTGTCCTCAAAATCAGAAGAATCAGCCTATTCTACCATCGGTAGTCCCCCTACAGCAGCTTCCAGCACCTGGTAACCGTCAGCAGTTAGGCCACGGTGGAGCCTTCCACTACCAGGGGGCGTAGTTCCGAATCAGGGAGGACCATACCAGTATACACCTGAGGTTCCTTACTACCAGGGAGGCTATCAGCAGACTCAGGGAGGTTATCCACAGTTCCAGGGAGATTATACACCGTATCAAGGCGGCGAAGCACAGATGTATACTAGAGGGCAGTATCTGAACCTAGACGTAGCGTCTAGCAGTGGAGGTTTAAGCAGACAGGCAATTCCACCCCAGCAGGGCCGAGGTAATCAGGGTCGAGGTAATCAGGTTCAAGCAAACAGGGGTCGTGGAGGCAGACAACAAGTTCAGGGAAGAGTTAACAACATCACCCTTCAGGATGCTCAGGCTAATCCGGACTTGATCATGGGTACGCTGAATGTTCTAGGCCATTTTGCTAAAGTTTTAATTGATTCTAGTGCTACACATTCAGTTATTTCCCATAAGTTTGCTCAAACGACTCAACCACATCCTACTTCACTCGACTACGAGTTGGAGTTCTCGATGCCTAGGGGTGAAATCTGTTATGTTAGTTGGGAGTATCAAGGATGTCCCATCCTTGTCGAAGATGTAGTCATGCCGGCTAATCTTGTTCCTTTGGATATCGTTGATTTTGACGTTATCTTAGGCATGGATTGGTTACACTGCAATCATGCCAGGTTGGACTGTTATGAGAAAGTTGTTACTTTTCACCGACCGGGCATGCCTACTGTCACGTTTATCGGTGAGCATGGTGGTCTAAAGCATGGAGTTATCACTGCTATGAGGGTGAGACGACTGTTGAGTAAAGGTTGTCAAGGTTACTTAGCTCATGTTGTGCTAGCGAATGAGACTGCTGCATCGGTGGAGGACGTCGGAGTAGTTAAACACTTTCCCGATGTTTTTCCCGAGGAATTACCTGGCTTACCCCCAGATCGTGAGGTGGAGTTCACCATCGATCTACTCCCAGGTACTAATCCTATTTCTCTTACACCTTACCGTATGGCTCCTACAGAGTTGAGAGAACTTAAAACCCAGTTGGAAGAGTTGGTTGATAAGGGTTTCATTCAGCCAAACACTTCCCCTTGGGGAGCTCCAGTTCTATTTGTACGGAAGAAATATGGAACCTTGAGGTTATGCATCGATTACAGGCAGTTGAATCGGGTGAAGATTAAAAACCGTTATCCGTTACCTCGTATTGATGACCTCTTTGATCAGCTCAAAGGTGCTTGTGTGTTCTCAAAGATTGATCTGAGGTCTGGTTACTACCAATTGAAGATCAGAAGCAACGACGTTCCGAAGACAGCTTTTAGAACTCGATACGGTCATTACGAGTTCCTAGTTATGCCATTTGGTTTGACTAATGCACCAGCAGCTTTTATGAACCTGATGAATCAGGTATTCCATCCATATCTCGACAAGTTCATCATTGTTTTCATAGATGACATTTTGGTGTATTCTAAGAATGAAACTGATCATGCCAGGCATCTGCGTTTGGTTCTAAAGACACTAAGGGAAAATCGGTTGTATGCTAAGTTCAGTAAATGTCAGTTTTGGCTCGATCAAGTGTCATTTTTAGGGCACGTGGTATCAGCTCAGGGTGTGCTTGTGGATCCTAAAAAAATAACAGCTGTGGAAAATTGGGAACAACCTCGGACAGTTACGGAAGTTCGAAGCTTTCTTGGTCTTGCTGGTTATTATCGACGCTTCGTGAAAGACTTTTCGACCATAGCACTACCTCTGACAAAATTGACCAGAAAAGACGTTCCTTTTGTGTGGAGTAGTGAGTGTGAACAGAGTTTCCAGCAGTTGAAGTATCTTCTCACTCATGCACCTGTCTTAGCACTTCTCGATGATGGTGGGAACTTCGAGATCTACAGTGATGCGTCTCTGAATGGTCTTGGTTGTGTGTTAATGCAGCATGATAAAGTGATTGCTTATGCATCGCGACAGTTAAAGCCCCATGAGAAGAACTATCCTACTCACGACCTCGAGCTGGCCGCAATCATCTTTGCTTTGAAAATTTGGAGGCACTATCTTCATGGGGAAAAGTGTAAGATCTTCACTGATCATAATAGCCTTAAGTACATCTTCAATCAGCCGAACCTCAATCTCCGGCAGCAGAGGTGGGTAGAGTTACTCAATGATTATGACTGCACCATTGAGTATCACCTAAGTCGTGCCAATTCAGTAGCTGATGCTCTTAGTAGGAAGTCTCATGGCCAACTTAATGCTCTTTATGCTAGCCGCATTCCTCTTTTGATTGACCTAAGATCCACTGGAGTAGCATTGAAAGAGGGTCGTCGGGGGGGCCCTAATTGCCAGTTTTCAGGTCAGACCGGTTCTGTTGGATCGTGTTCTCGAAGCCCAGAGGAATGATACGGAATCTCAGGAATTGATACAGGCCGTGTCAGACGGGAGAAAGAAGGACCTCTGGATTAGAGATCCTAACGGCATGCTTATGCAAGGTGATCGGATGTTTGTACCGAATGTTGAGGAACTAAAGAAAGACATATTGGATGAAGCACATATCTCTGCTTATACGATGCATCCAGGGAGCACCAAGATGTATCATACCATCCGACACTTCTATTATTGGCCAGGTATGAAAAGAGAGATTGCAGAGTATGTTAGTCGTTATGCAATTTGCCAACAAGTTAAGGAAGAAAGGAAAAAGCCGTTTGGATTGCTACAACCACTCCCGATACCTCGGTGGAAATGGGAAGATATTACAATGTATTTCGTGTATAAGTTACCTCGTACTCGAAATGGTTATGATGGCATCTAGGTAGTAGTTGATCGACTTACCAAGTCAGCGCACTTCATACCCATTCATGAGAATTACTCGTTGAATCAGTTGGCCGAACGGTTCGTCTCTGAAGTGGTTAGGTACCACGGAGTCCCAGTTAGTATCATTTCTGACCGGGATCCCAGGTTCACTTCGAAGTTCTGGGTAGCTTTTCAGGAAGCTTTGGGATCGAGATTACTCTACAGCACCGCCTATCATCCCCAAACAGATGGGCAGTCAGAGAGAACTATCCATACTTTAGAAGATATGTTGAGATCGTCAGTTCTATAGTTTGGTGACACTTGGCACAAACGCTTACCGTTGATAGAGTTCGCGTACAATAACAGCTTCCATTCTAGTATTGGTATGGCACCATTTGAGGCGTTGTATGGGAAACCGTGTCGTACTCCACTTTGTTGGTCCGAGGTCGACGAACGAGTTTTAGTGGGCCCTGAGATCGTGGAGGAGACGACACAAAACATTCAGGTGATAAAGGCTAACCTAAAAGCGGCCCAGGATCGGCAGAAGAGTATCGCCGATAGACATTCTACTGACAGAATTTATAAGGTTGGTGATTGGGTATTCTTGAAGTTATCACCATGGAAAGGTGTTGTGCGATTCGGAAAGAAAGGGAAACTCAGCCCTAGGTATATCGGACCGTACCAGATCGTTGAACGAGTCGGTGAAGTTGCTTATCGACTTGCCTTGCCACCAGAGTTGGCGAGAGTGCACAATGTGTTTCATGTATCGATGCTACGGAGGTACGTTTTTGATCCGTCACACGTAATCCCTCCTCAGCCTCTGGAAATCAATCCAGATTTGACCTACGATGAGGTTCCAGTGACTATCCTTGATTGGAAGGATAAGGTTCTTAGGAACTGTGCGGATGGTGAAGGTTTTGTGGAGGAACCACTCAGTGGAGGAAGCCACTTGGGAGACAGAAGAGCGTATGCGAGATATGTATCCACGTCTATTTTATGGCTTTCATAGTAGTTAGTATTGAAATTTCGGGGATGAAATTTTTATAAGGGGGTAGATTGTGACGACCTGTCCCTAATTTTCCTATGTAATTTCTCTCCAAGTATGTGTTTTGACGACTATGCCTTACTGGCAAGTGACGTGGACTTATTCTTATCACTTTCCATTTTATTTCTCGCTATCGCATTTAAATTGTACACGCTAGTACGAGTAGACGTAGATTTTAAAGTGTAAAAATATCTACTTCGGATAGATTTCGATTTCCTTTTACTGTAGGAAATATAGAAATCTATCCCTTGGATTCCTTTTAAAACCCATCCCGTGCACTCTCTGCAGCACTCCACTTTCAGCTATTCAATCCCATCTTTTCTGTATGTTTTGTCCCCCCTCTATCAGAAAAAGCAAAGAAAATTTGAAAACTTCTCTCTTCTTTCTCCCTATCCCGTGAGCTCTCTCTCCCTCTGCAACTCCATGAGCAAGCTCCAAAACTCATAGATCGAACAAACAAACTACATCATCATGCTCATCTCAGCCCCACGATCACGACCATACCCCTGGTTCGCGTGTTGACCGAGTTTTGAACGTCCAACTCGGAAGGTTCGACTCGGTGAGTTCGATACTACGGTTTTCAAGCCATGCATGGCTAAGATAAGCCTTAAGAAACCCTTAGAACCTTCATTTCACTTCTATGGGTTGTTATTGATCCTTTGTTTGTGTTTTGAACGTGTGGTTTTACCCAGAAACTCGAGAAGAAGGAGAACCCGAAGTTTTTCATACAAGAACCGTGGCCATTTAGTCATTTTCAAACCATTTTTCTGGTCAACCTCGACCACAACTGGACTTCTTCTAGGTACAAACTTGTTCTCTACATTCCTAACTTCAAAATGGCTTTTGAATCACTGAGTTTGGTTAAGTAACGAGTTAGAAATCAACTCTGGAAGTTGGGAAGAAAATTTTAGTTTTCTGGAAAATTTTAGCCGTGGTCGTTTGGCCACTTTCAGACCACTTTTAGCGTGGGGGCGCGTCCGGCCTCCGACCGGCACGTGGTTGGTATGTACGCGTTCGTGTCGTCGAGTAGATCAATTTCATATATTTATACCCTAGGTTTGAGCAAACTATGGGCGTTTTATTTAGGTTTCCGTTATGTGCTTTAATTAATGTTATTTAGTTATTTCACATATAGGGGAAACTTATTCCGAGGATTTTCGAAGTCAAGCTAGGCTCGGGGGCTACGACCCAGCGACGTACTTGTGAGTGGGCAGTTGTTTATACCTATATATATTTATAGTTTCCATAAATGCGTATTTGCTTCATTTTTACGCCTATATTGCCTAGTATCATTATTGTGATATAAATTGTGATAAATGCTGCTATATGGTTGTGATATTACTGTGATGGCATGCATACATACTTGAGTACATGCTCATCTTGCTGCACCCGGTGTTAGTACTCGCCCCAGGGCCAGGGCCAGTCCTTCACGTGTATGTTCACATCCGCACCGTTCGCTCACCGTGGATCCAAGTTTAGGTGCCAGTCTTGTCGGGTAGATTGCATTAGGCGATCCGACTTGTATGTGATGTGCTTTTGCACCAGTTTCACGTGATCGTAGTACTAGAGCATATTGATTACACCCAGTCCTGTTCGTGTCAGAAACCATCTGTTCGAACTTGTGTGTCAACTTAGATGGATGAGCACTTAGTTATATTGATTATCACATGATTATTATTGTGGCATATGATACATCATTCAGTTGGCATATTTCTGGTTATATGGTTGATATATTGGATTTTCATACTTACGTAGTATGTTTTGAGGAAACTATACTTGTTTTACGGCGAGGGGTTAGTATATTCAAAGATAAAGGTTTTCTTATAAGCATTGTTTTACTGACCCACTCAACTTTGTTTTTCGCCCCTCCAGGACCTAGATAGCTGTACTCTCTGTGGCACTCGAGGAATCACGGCAGTTCTGACATTTCCTTCTGTTTAGACGTATAAACTTATCACTACTATGTAATAAGTGTACTTTGGTTGCCTTGACTACTCTTTCGTAGTCTCACTGTCTATTACGCTCTGAATAATTGCAGTGGGTTCAACCCACGAATTGCGCACTCTTTCACTATTTAGTCCTAATTAGTTTTAATTTTATTCACTTTTTGCATCACTTACCCTTATGGTTACGTCACCTCACGGTGACGGCCAGCATTTTTCGACCTTTCCAGGTCGAGGTGTGTCAGAAATGCTAAGGAGACTCTTAAGATGGGACTCTCCATGAACTCTTCGCCACCTCAAAATTTTTACGCAATATTTTATAATGTTGGCATGAGAAATGTGCCAAAAATATGAGGATGGAAGATTTTCTTCAAACCTTGAGAATGAGTACCTAATCATTTAGGAGGAATGTTAGGAAGACTAAATTTGTAGATAAAGTTTTGTAAAATAAATGATGTGGAAGTTGATAATTGGATTATTACTTAAACGTAGATGCTCATTTCTTATTTGTGATACATCATTTGGTTTGTAAATTTTGTTTATAAATTTTAGCTCCCTAGCATTACCCATCATTTAGTGGTATAGATCTTATCAAAAGAAAAAGGGTAATGCTAGGGAGACTGAATTTGTAGACTAAATTTGCAAACCAAATGATGTGTCACTCATAAGGAATAATCACATTAATCAACACTTATTGGTGACACATCAATTAGTTTGCAAATTTAGTCTACAAATTTAGTCTACCTAGTATTACCTAAAGAAAATAGTACTATAAGAGTATCTTCAACTAAGGAGTTAAATCCAAGAAGTAATGTCACACAACGAGATTTAAAGGTAGAAAAAAGCTCTAACCAAAATGTCAGTCCTACGTGGATTGACATACAAATTGTTGTTTTCCAATTTTGACACGTGAGAATATCTGCTATCTTTTTATATGGGTCCCAATAATGCATTAATCTTACATCATGAAAATTAGTTCTAATTTATTTCATTAAATGGGTGCTACAAATATTATTTGAATAAAAAACATATGGGTTGGATTAATAGGAAATTTAACATTGCAACATAATGTATTTACGTTTAACATTTTTTGACATCTCCATTGGAGATACTCTAAAGCCTGTTTTGTAAACCAGCTTAGATTGGATATGACAAATAAATTGGACACTAGTTCAAGTCGTTGTTTGATGAGGTAAAAGTATAACATGAATGTTATCCGGGTTTTGGACTTGAGTCCAGAAGAACACCGGAATTGTAACCCGTTGTGAGACATGGCTTGGAGTCTGAGGACGCTTGCCTTCTCTTGCCAATGCGAGCTCTAGCGCAGACGTCCACCTTCTTTTTCTTTTATGCTCTCCGCCCTGGTTTCTTCTTTGTATGTTCGAATGACAACATGCAACTTTTATAAGGATTACAATATTTGCAGTAGTCCCTTCCCTGTTATCAGGTTGGGACCCTGCCATCACTGGCGGATCCATTAAGAGGCAAAGGGGGTCAGCTGACCCCCCAAACTTTGATGAATGGCCATAGATACCTTAGGTGCTGACCCTCTGAACTTCGGTGAATGTTCATGGATACCTTGAGTGTTGCCCTTTTGAAGATTAGAGTTGGCTTCATACTTGCCCTCCAACCAACTTTAGGCCTACCAAAACCATGAACGTCCATGAATACCTTGGGTACCGCCCCTTGCATACATTAACATGTCTGTAGTATACATTTTCAAATGACTTCAAACATACCAAGACTCGATGAAATAGCGATATGCATGCTATTTCTGGTATAAAAAAATTTGTGCGCTGCGCGTGCTATTCTTACTGACCCCCCCTGATATTATTTCCTGGATCCGCCACTGCCTGCCATGATGACTACAGCCCGCCAGACCTGCATCAAGTTGAACAATGACTACCAATTCAGGTTCAAATTGCCGCTTTAATCGAAATTGATATCAATTGTGTTGATTTCATTCCCACTCTTGTAAATTTGTTTATTTGTTTGATTGTTTGGTATTTGTTAGCATTATCTTCCAATGTCCTTGAAATTTGAAATGTGTAACTATTTGTTCAAAGAACACCTAGTCTAAGACAACAATAATGACAATATTCTTGTCCAAAACAAAAAACAAGGCTTTGAATAAAATCCTTTATTTTTAAGATAAAGCTTGTTAGGCGAGCCAATAATAAATCTGTTGATGACATATCGGTGTAGTTACACTACCTATCAAAAACATTATCATCAATTTTGAGCTAAAATAAATTTTAGGGAGAACATCTTTTTGAACCACAACCACCTCTCATTTTTGCCACCGCGCAACCAGCCTCTCTCTCTTTTCTCACTCTGTGTCTGTTATTTGAGAAAAAAAATTGAAAGTGGAAGGGTCAGGGAAGTTCCACAAACAAAATACTGTATCAAGGGAAATAAAGTCATCTTTCTCTAGTGACAAAGATTTCGAGGTGCCAGAAGAACAAATGGGTGGAAGTCAAGGTTCCATAAAATGGTGGCTTTAGCAAAAGAGAAGCCAAAAAGGGGCTTGAAATAAACAGAGCTTCACAAATAGGTGAAGAGTAACAAAACCCTATAGAAATAAAAGTTCCATGCAAGAAGAGGCGTCAAATTATTCATAGACATTATTCCCCAAAATTTTGGATGCTAGCAGTGCTTTAGAAAATAAGTTATCAGCATTCTAGACGTTTATATATAACATGACAAGAGCGTTCACTTTTATACTCAAGATTGTAAGTTCGAATCCTCGATTATCGCTTGTGCTATAAAGGCCCAGAAAAGGAATCTAATGACGCAGCAGTTCAAAATTGAATATTGTTTTCTCACATAGATGGCAGGACTAATGAGGCACCAAAGGTCAAATTTCAGCAATGTTCTTCTTGGCGAGTGTTGAGATTAAAAGAAGCTTTAATTTAGAAAATATTAATGAGGAGATTATAAATTTCTTCTTGACTGAATATTGGGATTATGTAATTTGGAAAGCTTGTCAAGGGAGATTGTTGACTAATGATTTGTTGCAACGCCAAGGTGTGGCTTTAGCTTCTTATTGCGCTTTTTGTCACAATGCTGGGGAATCTTGGGATCATCTTCTTCTACATTGTCCTCGAACAATTGCTTTATGGAAATGGATTTTCATTCTTTTTGGCAAGCTTTATTCCCCTTGGCAATTCATTGAAGATATTTTTAATGGCTCTTTGGTCTCATCTTTCTCCAAGTCTATTCGGAAACTTTGGTTCTTGGTTATTTGCAATTTCTTTTGGTGGCTTTGGCACAAAAGGAACCAGATTAGGTTTGAGAACAAAAGTTTTAGTATTGTCGCATCCCAACATCATCTTTTACAGCATTGGAGGGAATCAGCTTCTATTGCTTTTTCTTCTTTCACTGGTTGTGTATCGATTCCCATATTCTCCATGTTACGAATTTGTTCCCTTTTTTTGGATGCTCTTAGTTTTGTTCCTGTGTTTTGGCGTCTACTTCATGTTGGGTGGATCAAGGCAATTTAGATTGCATGGGATAAAGAATGACATAACATTTGGTTAGAGACAGATTCTATACATGCTATGCATGTCATCATCCTTCTATCAGCTCACTCCATGGATGTTCCATGGTTTCTTATAGTTTTTTTGGCAAATTGTTTATGGCATATTGCTCGCTTGCACTTGCATTTTTCGCATATTTTCAGGGAAGGGAATTGTTTGGTGGATGCTTTTGCTAATTTTGTTGCAATGAATAACAGTTTTACGTGGTGGGACTTGGTGCCTAATTTTGTTGACGCATCTTATAGAAGAGGTGGTATCGGGCTTTTCCATTCTCCCATTTAAAGTCATGAGGAGCAAAATTGTTGTTGTAGAGGTGGATATTGACAATGAAATATGACCAACAGAGTTATAGAAAATCAATTTCAGGTTACTGAAGTTGAAAAATTCTTAAACTATAATATATCGTTTTCGTTAATTTTTTTTAGTGGGTATTGGCCTAGTCCCCCCCCCCCCCCCGCCCCCCACCTCTTGTTTTCCTTTTCCTTTTTTCTTCATGGTATTAATAAAATCTAGTAGAGGGGGGATGTGCAGGGGGTTTTTGGGTGCAACGGTCCTTTCTCCTTCTAGGGAGGGTTGGTGTCTCGCACACGACTGTTGACAAAGAGCTAATCTCGCCTAATCCATCTCTAAAAAAAATTAAAATACAAATAAAACTTGCAAGCGCACAAATAAATTGTAGTAAGATATGCAAATACGACGTCAATCCCACCGGGATTACTTTAATACCAATTTAATCATTTAATCACGCTAAACTTAATTTAACAAACAAATGATATATTGAATTGAATAACTAATTAAAATTAAAATTAACAAGAAACGTAAAAGACAATTAATTAAAATAAACACACGACACAAGAATGATTTGAGAAACAATGAAGCCTAAGGTTATGAATCCACCAGCAAAAATCCTATTTCTTTTTCCTATAGCCAACTATTATCCAATTACCATGCCAATATTAAACATTGTTCTTTCTAAAGTATAAATTAATCCGTGATCAAGCATCAACTCGTGTATCTCTACATGATAATTATATCATATTGGTTGTGCATACAATCAACTAAAACCCCACTAAGCATAGAAGAATCATGTCAACAAAGTACAACTAGCTTGACATTGGCCATCCTCACTAGTTGATCTACTCTTCCTAATCTTAGTTCCACTAACCTAATTGATTGGTCATCCTATTAGATTTATTCCAGTATCTAGGTGCAAAATTCTTGAAGGTGATTTGTCATTTGAAATTCGAATCTAGAATAAATTTAGCACAAAGCTTAAGAATATAACGTGTCATATAATCGAATAGTAATTAACAAAGTACTTTGCAAATATTAAGGTCATGGTTTCATCATAGACCTTAGAAAATAACTTAATTAAACATATAAATAAAAATAAAAGAAAGATAAAACCCATAATCCATGGCAACCCATGACCCTAAGCTCTCAAACATGAATTGTGATGGATGGTGAATGGTGAATGGTGTACTATGATTGTATGGTGATGCGGTGACGTGGGGATATGTTGAGAGAGCTAAGGGTGTTGGAAATGTGCCCTAAAACCAATCATATGATAATACTTTACGGACAT